AATGCAGCCCCACTATTGGTGAAAACAACTACACAGAGAAGCATCTACAGAATGCAAACACTGAACAGCTCAAAGAATCACAGCCACAAATATCGATGCTGTTACACTGAAAGTTGATGCATCCATGCTTGTGAAGATTATAACACTGAAGGTTAGAGAAGGAGGCATTTAGATGAGACGGGTAGGGTCGGGATCAGGGTAGTCTACACAAACACAGAAGTGCAAATACATTTCTGTGCGTGTGTGTGTCTGGGATTGGTCCCTGGAGTTCAGCAGGCAGGAAGAGACGTGACCACACTGGCCAAGCTACAAAAACACGACGGGTCAAAAAACATTTAGCTAGGCCAACAGCAATGACAGCCAGAGTGCAGGACACGCACGCACGCACACAGACCCACACAGCCTTGGTGCCTTGTTTATTAATGTTTGTAACATCAGGGTGACCCTGCATAATTATGCAGCCTTACATGTTCCTGTACCAAATGCTAAAGGACATGCAAACTAAAACACGGCTGAAGGAAGACGGCTACTTTAAAATATTCCTCCTCTGTGACTCTGAGAAGCAAGTAACTGCCCTCTTTTTCCAACAGAGACCTAACACTGAAATAAGAAATGGCTGAGTTCATCCACGAGTGCCTCCAAAGAGACACAGAGGAGAGGAGGGCTGCTTCAGATGCCTCATACAAACTCATTTGAATTGCAAATGTTGTTAGGCAGCATGCTGGGCTGTGAAATCCCAGCAGTACCCTCGAGCATCACGCACAAACACCGACGTGTGCACATCAGTAGCGAAACTTTGTGTGTACACTACAGTAAAAAAGACAAGCCACAGAGAATCGTCGAGTTTGGAGCACTTTCCCATGTCTGAACTTCGTATGATCGCAATTTGATGCAAAAATAATGATGAGCTAGCAGTGCAGAAACTGGTGCTGAGATGATGAGGTAATGGCTCCCCTGCAGGTAGGAGGCGTGGGGGTGGGGGTGTTTGGTGAAGGAAAAGAAGAAGAAGGAGAAGAAGCATCAGGTGATGCTCGGAGGGAGGCTGGCTGGCAGGCTGATTAGGCAAGGCTGACACAGCAGGAGCAGGAGTGTGTCCGATGTTAACGACATAGATGCGGTGTGACAGCAGGCCTGCCAGCTGAGGCTGACGGTGCATGTGCGGCCTGAAGAAATGCGTTGACAAAGTGCCATAAGCACACCTGTATGGGGGCAGGGAGCAGGCCAGAACGCTGCAGAGGGGACTGTCTGACTTGCACAAATTTAAGGATGACAAAATCAATAGGAAGAGGTTATAAACATTTGGAAATGTCCCTTTGCATCAGCTGTTAACAACTCAATCGGCATGAAACATCAAAGCTATCAAATGTCCTTGGGAAAGCCATGCAAATGCTGAAAGATTCCTACTAAAGCATCCAGAAGGCAAGTCCTTCCAACTCTCCAACCAAGTCCACATAACTAGTGAAAGCCAGAGGGCAGGGGGGCGAAGGGGAGGTCACTTCCATAATGTGACCTGCCTCAGTGTTCACCTCTGCGGCCAAACTGCCTTCACAGTTTTCAACTAAAGTCACTGTTTCAGGCCACAGCACTGACAGAATCACTCACTGTGGGTTTTACAGCATGAAATGCACTGTACACCCCCTCCACTTTGTTTTGGAAGCTAAATATAACTGCTTTGTGTGGGCAAACCAGAGGTGTTGA